AAACCATTAACTTTGTGTTATGTGATTTCACCGCTCAATTTTGTTACAAGAATGTTCCAGAAGGAAATTGTCGTAGTTTCAGATTAAAAGCAGTGATAAAATTCCAGTGCATAAGAGTTACTGCGATTTTGTTTAGTACCCAAAAATTCATCTACATCACATGTAAACACACATCCTGTGTGTATATACTGTACTTCCCATCCACCTGCATACTCAACTATACGAGCATGTCTTACTGTCTTCCTTTGCTGTGTTCCTGTAGGATTAATCATCATTAAATTTGCTCTCCATGAGTTTCGGTGAATATCTTTACGTAAAACCAGTATCCACACATATGTCCGTATTGTCAGTGGCTTTGGGCGTACTATTATGTATTTCTCCAAACGTTAAACTCTTTGATCCACGTATGCGTGTCTCTCTGACGCGTATAGCCATTCTCCTCTCTCGCTGCGCAGACTCCAGGTTCTCTTTAAGGATGAAATAGTAACATGCGCCATCTGCCAAGATGTTCACATTGCTAATGCATATGCTTATGTGAACAAAGTAGCGTAGATGATCGATGGTGTTTTGATGCCACTCACCTGTCTTGGCATAGAAGTATATGGGCGCTGCTATATGGTAAGGAATGAAGCATGTAAGGAAGACCACCAGGTTGCTGAGAACGATCTTCATGCTCTTGTTGTTGCGCAGTTTGGAATCTCCAGGGTAGCGCTCCCTCAGTTTGTGCAGGATTTGCACCACGCGCATGGAACAGAACACCATCACTAAGGCGCTGCTGCAAAACACGGTCTCCATAGATGCCAGAATCCAACTTTTCGTCCAAGTTGAGTTGGAGAATTGCTCAAAGCAACGCAACGTTTTGTTTGCTGGATTATCATGAAGTCTGTAGATGGGGAAGCTGCATCCAAAGACCACCATCCACAAGATTAGGCACACGAGCATTGCCTTGCGTGGAGATCGCAAACAGCGTGCAGTGAATGGAAACTGTAGAGCGATGTATCGGTCGACCGCGATGCACACGCTCAGCATGATGCTGCCGTAGATGTTGACATAGAGCAGGCTCTCCAGCAGGGAGCAGAAAGTCTGGCCTAGTTTCCAGTGCTTCTTGTAGGCGTGTATTTTAAAGGGCAGGGACAGCATTAGCAGGCTGTCGTTGATGATCAGGTTGCTGAGGTAAACTGTGGATTCGCTCCAGCGTCGAATGCGGAAGAGCAACTGCCACAGAGCAGCCAGGATCAGAGGGAAACCGAAAACCAGAATGGGCACATACACGCACATCTGGACCCAACACACCCAATCACAGCTGTCTGTCCGGGAGAGAGAAAGAAAGAGGTGACTTTTTAGAATTAGTTAAGTTAAAAGTGCTGTATGGAACTTTTGGACTGTTCTCAAGCATAAAAATTCCATAATATGTTTGCAGATATTTAGGAAACATGCTTTGTGTTTCTACAAAAAAACAAAGCTACAGCCAGTTATTCTACTTCTAAATGTGTGTTCCGTGTCGGAATGTCTGTAATTGTTTTGGTTCCACCCACTGCCACAAGAAAACACAGCGTATTGCAGCCATGGACGTGAAGCCTCAGCATCCATCTAAAAAGCTCTATGATCAGAGGCATATTTAAAAGTGGATAAATCAGCTCAGCAATTTAAAGTGTAAGGCTTGTCGCCTTCGTCAATTGACCATATGTATGGAGCGCTATTTAGAACTTCCGGATAAAGATAAGCCAGCTCGTAATCTTCCGGTGAAGCTCATTTTATATGTGCTGTATATAGAGACTCTCACAGAAACCTCTCCTGCCTCATTCTTATTAGGAACTGAGAAACAAAATAATTGCAACACCGTAAATAATGATAGCAGAATTAACATTAGGGCTGGGCGATATATATATAAAAAATTATATCTCGATATTGTCCATTTTTACGTTATTCGATATATATCTCGATATGTTTGCATTTGCTTTTAAATAAT